CCAATTCGAGCCCACCATGAAGAGAAAGACACCTTCAGAACTGAGAGTAAACCACTGAGCCTTTTATTTTGTATTGCCCGAGTTTTCATTTGGTATTCATGAAAGATTTACTTCGTTTTTTTTCGTTTTTTGCTTTTCATCATTCAAAGATTCAAATAGTTATGGATATCTCTTGGAATTGTGTGAGAGATATCTCTTGGAATTGTGTGAGAGAAGTTTACATTTCCAAAATTGTAGATGGTTAAAGGCAGTGATTGAAAAAAATTTCATCTAGACAAGGAATCATTCAGGGCTGTGGCGGTTCTTTGACGGAATTGGTGATTCATCTTTACGCAATATACAATACATAAGTACTATATCAAGTAGTTGGAATAGCTAGTTGGCCAGCGTGTATTGGATTGCTTATTTTGTGTACATACTTTGAGCTGGGTTTGTTTGAAATACTTATTCTTGATTTGTCAGTTAGTATATATTGTTTTGGCTTATTTTAAAATAACTTTTGGTTTGGTGATTTTCCTCTGTGTGTTAGTTCCCATGATTATTCTACATGTTAAATTACATGTACTTGATGCATTTTTTTTATAATGAAATATTTGTAAATAAAATGTTTTCTGCATATGCAATTATGGTAGTAATACCTATATTTCCTCATTGATCCATCACCTCTTTTATAGGGGGAGCAGCTGAAGCGAAGGCAATTTGGAAATCCTGTTGAGGGAGCCTCCACTTTTCTTTCGGGTGGTGACTGGTAAATACAAATATTTGTTCTTCATGCATTCTGGAATCTAGATATTTGAACCTGTAAAGAGAAAGGCACTGAGACTTGTTTTTTCTGGCAATAGCAGTGAAATAACCCATGGGAATAAGAAATCAGAGTCATCAAAGACACCAAGATACATTGATACTCGTGTTGATGATGTCTACCCTGTTAAGAAGTCCAATGGCTTGTTGGGGACTCATAATGAAAAGCGGAAGGTCAGATTCTTGTTGTAATAGAAGGTTTTATGTGTTGTAAAGTCTCATTCTTTTTGACTTGACACATTATCAATAGGTATCAAACTGTAAAAAGATATTCATAGATACCCTTTAATTTTCATAAATAAAAGTAATCTGATGGGGAAAACCTTTGTTCATCTCAATCAGGAAAATGCTCTTTCCTCTGCACAAGGGGATTTTATGAAAAGCCCATCCAAGGCTTGTCATTTGACCATGAAGAAGGAAGGACCTCCATGGTATGTTTTCCTTATGATGGCATATTATTCTTTCTAAACTGATAGTTTAATTTTGTTTAGATGCTTCTGCAGCACAATGTTGTTAGAGATCTCATTTATTTTGCGGTCAGGTTGTTGGGGGGCTTTATTGAGTGCCTTAAGCTACTTTATTTGTTGGCAGTACAAGCACTTCTGCAGATGACATTAAGGGGCACAACTCTCACACTGGGCTTGCAAAATGTTCTCAAAGCACATTTCGTAGCGTTGCTGAGCTTTCTTGGGGCAGTTCAGCATTAGCAAATCCAGTTGACGTTGATATGGTAAACATTGCAACGAGTAGCTTCATTTGTAGTTGAAACTGCTATTCTTTTTGTTCTTTAGGCAGTAACATTTATCTTTTTAAGATTAGGATAAAGCACTTAAAGGACTGGCATCTTCAAAGCTTTCCACGGTTCTCCCCAAGGTTGCCAATTCTACTGGAAGTTTGGAGGGTTCCTCATCATCATGCTCTTTGAGAACTTCTTGTAACGAGATCTGTATTCCCACCAATAAAGTACTTCTGGATTTTACTTTGAAAGTGTGTTTGCGATTGGTTTCCTCCTCATCGCTTAGTTGGTGAGTGTTGTATTTATGTCAATAGTTGACTTTGCATCTATTTCGAAGTGGTTTGGTCACGTGCCTGGAATCATTATATTGCTTGTATCCCGTTTATTAAATTTTATATTGGTCATGCTCGCATGCAGGCATGCATCCATATGTTTGTATTGTGTATATGTGCATATGTGTATATCATTTACTAGTTATCTTTACAAGTAATGGTTTCGGTATGTTAGGTTGTCTTGAGTTTTGGGATTCAATTTGTGCAATAATTCTACATGTCATATTTACAATAGTGATATGGATTCCACAGTGACATTGCACATTATCTTGACAAATTTTCTAGTATGTTGGTGACTTTTGAGCAATATTTCTATTATATGTTGGAAGTGGCTTCTGATAAATATTGGTACAGTTTTCGGAATATTTTTATTTGTGTTTCTAGTATATATATTATTATATTCAAATACGATTCATGTGCATGGTTTATCCATACCCAAAAAAGGTGTCTGGGTAATTCTGATCTGCATTATTGAAATGACAAAACAACAGTTGATGCTTAGTTTTATTACACTTGGTTCATGTTATGAGGGATGCCGCTGTAGGAATCAATTCTCTAGCCGATGAGGGATAGTTAAGAGGGGCTTCCATCTTGGGGTATTTTTTCCTTCTTCCTTTCTTTTTTGATAGTAGATTTTCTCCTGCAAGGGCTTCCTTAGACACTTATTTTCAGTACACGCCTCTGATTGGCTGCATTTCTGATCTGGCTTGATGTATACTCTTATCTTTTGACCTTTAGTGATAATTGACCATAAAGGCTTTACAATAGGCACATCTGAACAAACAACACTGGCAAGAGTTAAAGAATTAATTGGATGGCAAAAGTTCCTTCAAGGCAAAATCAGCCACAAATAAACATTGTTTTCTTCAGTATCTGTCATTTGCTTCAGTTCGATCGCTCATTACTTTGAATCAACTGATTATTTTTGTATTAGGGATCATATGCAGCAACTTGTTCAATTTACATGTAGTAAATTGCAGATCACATCAACCATTCATAGTTAATAGTGAATGGTTGGAGTGAAGATTTCCTCTGCCATATTAGACATCGAGCATTGGAACGTTTCTCGTCCTCTGTCAACCATGTGTGGTTGACTTGACTTGCAGTTTACTATTGTAATCTGCAGTGACTCTTTGCATATTTTCCTTCCTAGTAAATCTTCTACTGGTTTTTTTTTTTGAATTGTTTCCATATTTCTTTTTGTACCTTATAGGTGCCACAAGTTGAGTCCTACAAGTTCTTATCAAGGCATGGCTATGTTTGTATCTCAATATGGTCTTCATCAAGGCCTGAATTGTGGAGAATCTAGCTCCCTGCTGGGATGCTCTGAAAATCTTGGGATTTCTTATTCTAGAGCATTGCATTCATGGATGTATCCGCAATGTTCTCTGCCTCCTTCTGTCATAAATTCCATGGAATTGTCTGCTGCTCGTGGAAATTTGGCAGGTACATATCTAAATGAACAGATGTCGGACAATACTCCAATTTCTTTTGCACCTTGAAATGATGTTAGAAGCTTGATTCACTTTTTGTTTGCAGAAAGTGATTTCTTATTGAAGCGCCAAGTGGCTTGGCAGGACTCATTTCGATGTCTTTACTACATGCTTAGAAGGAAGATATGTAACCTTTTCTATTGTATGTATCGAAATCAAGTTTTCCTATTTTTGTTATGATGTAAGCATTAGGTTGTGTTTGCTAGTAAGCCAAAATAGTGACAAATCTGTTCTTTAGATATTATTTTCCCTATATTGGTAGATCAATGGAACAACTCTTCTCTAGTGGTAGGCTATTTCCTTCAATAAGATTTCACACTTTTCTATCATATTGTAATTAATCTTTTAATTGTGTGTTATGTATTTGAATGTTGGGCGACTGTAAGGCCAGTCATGCTTTATGGGATGGTATATTGGGTGGTCAAGAAACAACATATCCATAGAATGAGCGTAACTAATATGAGGATGTTGAGATGGATGAATGACAAGGCAAGAAAGGATAGAATTCAGAATGAATACATCTGATGAACTTAGGGATGGCTCTAATAGGCAATAAGATGAGGGAAAGTAGACTTAGGTGGTTTGGTCATATGCAACATTGACCTAGGATAGCACTCATTAGTAGCGGAAATTTGATTCAAGTGGAAGGCTCTAAAAGGGCAAGGGGAAGGCCCAAAAAGATATAGATAGAAGTAGGGAGAATAAATATGGTTATCATCAGACTGAGGGTATGACCCTTGATAGAGTGAAATAACGGAACGTGATTCGTGTAGCTGATCTCAAATAATTGATATGAGGCTCGGATGATGATGATAGAATAATCTTTTTGTATAATGTATATGCAGTTTGGTATGATATTAGTCTAGGTAATACTAAAATACAGCTTCTTAGTACTCAAATATAATTTCTTACTAATATATGGAATCTGAGGTTACTTCTTGATTGTGAACTTACTCTGAATCATATTTTTCTTTTTCATTTTTTATTTATCAGTTCTTCTCTGTTAGAGTGCCTTGTGCAATTTGCAACTATCTTGTCGTAAGCTATCCTTTATTTTGATAATTAATTTTGTTACTTGTGTCTTTTTTCTAATGTCTAAAAGTTATTTGGAATATTTTGTCACTCCTTTGTGCTCTCTTATGCCTACTATTTTTATTTTCTTTTGTTTGTGGTATTCTATTTAATTTAATGGGCTGGCTACGGAAATTTTTTATATCATGGAATTCTTTGACTATTTTGTAATTTGCAGTTTATACTTCCCAATTTGTGGTGCTATTCATCAGAGGTGATTATCCTGATACGAAAAAGCACTCCTGTAATGCTTATCTTTCTAGGTCAACTCGCGGATTGAGAGCCTTGCTTAAGGAGAATGTGAGTTATATGCTGTCTTTATGTTGCACTTTTGAGGATTCTTATTGTTATGTGTATGAAAATTTCCTCTATGGTTTTTTGGTTTTTATGGTTATTTACTGGAATTAGCACTTAACTTTGAAAGAGGCTGGGCTATATCCACGAAACTGGTTCCCTTTCTTCCAATTTTGGAAAGAAGATGCATCAATATGTCAAATGAAGAAGCTGTATGCTAGACCCACAAAGATATTCTAAAAGGATGCAAGTGTTTCTACCCTCTGGCAGTTAAACTAACTCATGAGCAACTTAGCTCATGCCTTCAAGCAGATGCATCAACTTGTGTTGGTCCTAGCTTGGCTTCAACAACTCAAAGTCTCAAACTCATCATGTCCAAAGGGCTTTCATGCGGGCATATACTTGCTGATCTTTACTCTTGATGAATGGTGTCTTAATTGATCCCTTTGTGACCCATAATCAAACTTGTCAAGTTTATTATTTCATGATCATTTTCTTTTAAAGCTTTTAACAGTTCTTTTTCCAAAAGATATATTCTTCAGGTATTGGGAGAAAAGCTGATTATCCGTTGAAGAACTTTGCTGAGATGTGCTCTCTAGCATTAGAAGTCATGGCAATTTGTTGTCTTCCTAGTTTGGATTCAGAGAATGTGTCTTGTTTCTTGTTTTTTCTAGAAAAAATGACTTACAGTTGATGCATATAAATATACTCGGTGGATGATGCTTCATCATTAGGTGTTACTAACTTGGACAAAAAAGTCTTTCCTATTCACCCGCAAAAATTTGAAAAGGAAGAGATAATATGGTTCAGTGATCCAACAAAAATTTGAAAAGGAGAAATGGCGCCTTCTAGAACTAACAGGAAGAGATTCTTTGTCCCAATATTTCCTTGAAATTTTTGCATTATGAAATACTTCGGCATTACTTACTGGTGGTCTATTTACAATCAAATTCCCGGTGTGTTCAATTGTTCTTGGGCTTCATCAAAGTTAACAGAGATTAACAACATCGGTTTGTCAGTAGAAATACGGTCATATGTACAAAGTGCAGGGATGAACTAGTGGTTACATTACCCTGAGGCAGTTCATTCCTGGCATATAAGTGGCCAAAGATGAAGTAATGGTCCCTGCTTGGGGCCGGGAGATGGGGACATGCTGGGAAGGAGGGAATGGATGGAGGAACATTAGGACCCACCTGCATCGACTAAACCCTCATCAACAGAATCACCTATGAACTGGTGAAGCTCGGGTAAATACTCTCATTAGAAGAGCCCATGAAGTAAGAAATCTTTTACTACCTTGGTGGAGACTCCTGTAATGCCTTTTAAAGGGTGCAAAACAGAAGGTGTTGTGGATTCACTAAATTCAAGGTCCGTGAAGCAATGATGGAGAGTAAGGAGTCAATCCAAGCAAGCCTACTGGGAGGTTTTGCCCAGATAAAAGCAGAGGACTGGAGGGATGGGCAAGAAGGCTTTGGTAGACCTCAGCCCTGTTATATGCAAAACTCTGGAAAACAGATACATGATATTCATCCAAAGTTCTATTAGGGAAGCAGCAAGCATTTTGGTATGGTGATCTTGGAGATTTGGTGGCTCTTTACTAATGCTTTCTTGATGTTGTCCTGAATCATGCTTATTCTTCCTAGCCCCAAGGAAGAAACGATTTTTGATAAGGAGAGTTCTCTGCACGTGTGGACCTATGATGTCTTTAGCAAGATTGCCATGAAATGTGAAAATTTATTCAAATTAGGTTGGAAAATGACACAACGTGATTTTGGTGCAAGTCAAGGATGATATACCCATTCCAGTGTTTCAAAAAGCGTTAGGCGGTACCTAGGCGGTCGGGGGGTCCAGGCTGCCCAGTGCCGAGGCGGGGGGCGCTCAAAACCTGGACGACCCAGTAGCATTTTTTTTGTTTTTTGGGTTTTCTCTCTCTAAAATAGCCTCTAATTGGTTTTAGGTTCCAAACCCACAATTTTACCTCTTTAGTATTACAAAAATGACCCAAAAATATCATCAGGGAGCAGTATTTCCACCCTTGGGTGGGACACAGGCCCTGGGCGGCTGCACGAATGGGTTTAGGCTGATGCCCAGGGATATCTGCCTAATTTGGCCGCCTAAGCTTGGGCGATGCACCCAGGCCTTCTAGACTGCTTAGGCGGCCGCCCAGACGTTGGGCGGTCCGCTTTTTAAAATACTGGCCCATTTCAAATACCATTATTTTTCCACAAATTCAAAAATTTAAGCTGAATATTCAATAAAGAATGGTAATATCAAAATCCATCAGATAGGAAAGACGAATGAAGGTGGACACCAGCAAGCAGAAGTATTGGAAAGAAGGAAAACAATGAATCAGCAGTGATATCTTCTGAGGTGAAGGATGAGAATGCTAAATGGAGAGGGAATTAAGGACACCGAGCTGAAGTTTTTGCTGATTAGAAGCCCTACTTTGCTAGCCCATTTCTAGCCACTTGTATAACACCACCCCTTTTGAAATTCATATTTGAATTTTGAATTTCATTTAAGTCTGAATTGATGGACTTGGTAGTGTTACCATGACATGTGGTCCATGGCACCATGTCGTGTGTCAACACGTTTGACATGTGTCGACACTGAATATATTAAAAAATATTCAAACACTTAACAGAATTACATGGGAAGGCTTGAGCTCAGCCTATCTTGAGGATATAATTCTCATGGTACTGCCTCTCCACCCACCTAGATGTAATTGAAAGAAAAGCTATATATATTGTATTACATAGAATATAATACTTTATTTATAACAAAGCAATGTACATTAGTGTCTTGCCATGCTGGCTTTTTTGGCTAATGTACTAGACAGCTACGACGCATCGACTCGAACACCTGTATTGGTGTCCATGTAAAATTGTGGACCGCAAGTGTTAAATTGCAGATTTCTCCTCATTCGGTCCAACTTGACGACATTTCCTTGCTAGGCTGGCAGTCTTTTCTCACCCATATCCTCTTAATCTTTGGCACATATCTATTAAATGCCGATCCTGCCACTGAAAGAAATGACGGTCCATATCTTCGCTCTAGAGATTCATCTGCTGCTGATGGTCGGGATAGTGCCACAGCAGGTGGGACCATGATTCAGCCATGGTTAAATACATGGTCCACGATGGACCAGGCCCAGATTGCAACATGATCAATGTCATGTAACAGAAGGTCAAACAGTCAGCTTGATCAAATGGCTGGGAACAATGCTCAACATGAGCTTGTGGTAAGGACACATGCCTAAAACCTGATGTAAGTGTATAGCGTGCAAATCTTGCCGTTCCTGAACAGTAGATGTGAAAGTATCCTTCCAGTAGAGGGGAAAGGGAAGAACATAAATGCAAGGCCTGATGGGAAGAGGAATGAATTGACATCAACAAACTAAAACAAGAATCGCAGAAGCTATCTATGGCATGCACTCAGCAAAAGAGTTCCTTAAAACCTATTTGCAGAGATTGACATTAGTTTCATAATACAAGCAAAAGGCGATTTACCTTTACGATCAAAAGATAGGTGGAAAGAAGAACTTCAATGTCAAAGGTCAGCTGAAACAATGTCTGGAGATCAACACGGGGTGAGGCCATGTGGCTTAGATTACACTGGTTTCTGGCTCTGGCTCAGCCACACTGGGAGTGGAACTATAGTGCTATCTTGGAGAAGGAAGGAATGTCTCTGTTTAGATGCTTATGTCCAGATTATAGAAACCTAAAAGAGGAGGCTACGGCAGAGCCAAACAAATATCATGTCTATGGTTCTTACAATAGAGGCACAACTTACAATAAAACAAATTGATGTGTCTAGAGATCTTGATGCGCATAAACAACACGCCACCATGATGTCACCCCAGTAGAAACGAGGAAGTAGTTAAGATTGATGATCAAGAAATACCTAAAAGAGTTTGTTTCCGATTATCTAGGGTTGATAATCCATGAGAATGGAGAGATTGAGAACAATGTCGCACATAGAATTAGATCTGAATGAGTGAAGTGGAGATGTGCATTATTTTTGAAGTGCCAACATCAAATGAAGAGAAAATCCCCATATCCAATAGTTGTATGTGATGGAAATAGACAATGGTGCATACACAATCTCCTTTTTTGATCCTGATATAGTTAAAAAATATTTCCATCTCGAAGCTGTATTAAAATTGGAATAGTTTGAAACTTTGAGTGGGCCATCAAGCAAAGCTAAATATATACTGATATACACAGACTTCTCTTTACTTATGGACACACATTTCAATAGTTAATAAGTATGTGCGTGCAATTGTTATCTTATCTGCATCATTAGAAGTCTATAACATAGTTGTTGGGTCTGGGAGCGGATAAGAATTAATTTAGGGATTGGAATTTGGGGATCGTGAAAGGCTAGAAGATACCTATGGGAGGGAGCGATCCTAGGGATCTTGATCCGACCTTTTGAGGATCTTGATCCTAATCTTATTGCCAACTTTTGAGATTGCGAAAGTAATTAAGGTTACACTGTTTAATTTTACAATTTTCACTGACTAGTATCGAATTGTGTAATATTAAGAAATAAAACTATTTTAAGATTACACTGGTCAATTTTTATAAAAGTTAAATGGTCTAACCTTCAAGAGGTTGGGATCACTCCCAACCTTTTGCGATCGTCATCTGGAGCAGTGGTGATCCAGATCCCTCTCCTGGGATGCCAAAGCTAGATTCCAGAGCAGAATTATAACTGTGATATATAAGCAAGCAGACACATTCATGCAGTCATATACATATTTCCTTTGTCAACACCTTGCCATTTAAACTATAGTTACAAGAATAGGGATAATTCTGAATTGAAGACTACTCTTGTATTAGTCTCGGTTTGATGTTGCTCAATCCATTTGATTTCACAATTGATTATGAGACTGAACATAGTGATTTCACAATTCTGATTGTGATTATGATTTCACAATTCTGATTGTGATTATGATTTCACAATTCTGATTGTGATTATGAGACTGAACATAGTGATTTCACAATTCTGATTGTGATTATGATTTCACAATTCTGATTATGAGACTGAACATAGTGATTTCACAATTGATGCTTTATAGGAAAGGGCAATTTTGTTGCTTTTGTTTTGGGTTCAATTTTAATTCATGCTATCAGTTTACCACCAAATTCTTATCTTTGATTACTTTTCCTGTTCCAACAAAACAGGATGTGGAATTCTCCATGCCTTTTTGCCATTTTGAAGTTGAGCAAGCTAGAACTGAAGATATACTTGAACTCTCCGAATTTGAGAAGAAAAATCCTGGGCAGGTATATTATTAACACCTATTCCTTCTACCACCGCCGGACATGCATGTGGCTCACAAACAAGATTTCCAGCACATGGGTGTACATGCATGTGTAATATAAATACTTATGGTTGTATGTATGCCACTTTATTTGTTCAGTACGAATAGAACTTGAAAAGAAAAAAAGAAGAAAATGTTCAATATAAATTTTGGCCTTCTGCTTCTGTAAAGGGAACCACTAAGTTGTTTCTCTGTATGTGGTCTTCATTTTCAGCAACTAGAAATAACTGAATTCTGACTACAAGTTACTGGAAACCAAACTTGGCAGTTTGATTTCTCTCAGTCAAATGGTTTCATTCCATTTGATGAAAATCTGGTTAACAATATATATTGTTGCTATTATCGATGCATAATTTTCTTCTTGTTTACTTATGCAGACACGCCGTCTGGATTTTGTTAATGATGTGGACAACAGTTCTCAGTCCTTATTGGCTTTTGTTGGCAATGAAAGAGTCCATAAGTTATATGATTTTTTACTTAATTACAGGTACTTATTAGTCTTCTCCTGCGCTATATTTCTCTTCCATTTATCTGTTATGTTGTCATAATATTGGTAATTTTGCATGTGCTTGTTTGACAGATACAGTTCTGAAGTTTACTTTTTTATTCATCAGGTTGTTCTTGAACTCTTTGGCTTGCAATGATGTTCCTACACTTTATTCACCTAAGCCATTCAAGAATGCGTCTCTTTTTGTTCCAGAGGTGGGTGATGCTCTACTAAATTGTATTTTTCCAGGTTTTTGGAATGGTCCATGTACTTGTCTATGTGTTTAACTTATTCTATCCAATAGTGAGCTGAAAAAAAGTTCATGGAAATACAATTGTGACAAGTAGGCCCCAATTGCGTACATCCCAAGCTAATCCATTCATGGATCAACAGAAAATGGAACTTTCCCAATCCTTTTGTTTGTTGCCATAATGAAACATCATAATTGTTTGGTTGAGTTGTATTTACAACCATGTTTATAGGTCAGATGCAAACAGATCAAGAGAGCTGCTGCTATTCTTGAACCTTCAAAAGGCAAATCCTCGGTGGGGAATGTCGATGAATTGTCATCAGGGGTCTGCTACAGTATAGAAATAAATGACACTGTTATACCACCATGGGTTGTCCATCATATTTTTGAGGCCATGAGCTCTGAAGGGAGGACTTTTGAGGCAAGGTAAGCAAGCTGTTATTTTATTTGATACATAATGTTTGTTACTTAAGAAAAATGACACCATGGTCACAATTTATGGATATGATTCTAAGGGGTATATAAATCCCAGGCACCCATGTCCGTGTCATTTACTTGGATGAAAATATTTGAGAAGTATGTATTCTGCTAGCAATCTCAAAAGCACTTCTAAATCATCTGTACCCTCTAAAGGGCCATGAACAAATCTACTTGCCCATCTAATCACATATGTGAGTCTCCTACGATTAGTTAGGTCCAAAAGAAAAACCCAATCCTGAGGCCACTAGGAGTAGATGCATCCTTTGTAGTATCCACCACTCTCATCAAGCTCATTGGGGCCTTCAATTCTTGATAGTCATCCTCATATCCCTGGTTTCAAGTCGACCTCTTTGTAGACTGAGATTCCATCACAATCTTGATTTTCAAGGTAATTGGAAACTTTTTTGTTCATTTCAATCTAGTACCTATTATCACTCAAGTCTAAGAGTATGTTCTAATTTTTGTATATTACAGAAGCAAAGGGACCTATATTGGTCTTTCTTATTTATTTTCAGTAAATTTCGGCTATATAATTGGCAGTCTTATAGCACTGCTATATTTCTCGTATAGCAAAGAATGGAAGGAATTCTCACAGTAGATTTCATTCATTAACTGGATATCTGATTGAAGTATGAATATACAATAGTTGATATTGATTGATCTATTGGATTATTGGACAATGTTTTTTCATGCCTTCGTTTTAATCTTGATTTAAGATCTTTATTACAGGGAAAAATAGGAAGCTATGGTCTGTTTGACCCTCTCTCTTTTTTGGTGTATTTGCAGCTTCACTACTGACCCTTTGTCACATGGCTTGAATGCTTCTCTTGATGTGATTTATGACAGCTCAGTCATTAGAACCCTGCTGAAAAATGATGGGTTCTTTGGTTCCATGGAAGCCATTGTTGAGCCACGTTTGCGTTCTGCATCCGTGACAGGTTTAAAATACTCTGATAATGGTTACATTGCATCCCTCTCTTCAGGGTAATTGGGGGGGTGGGGGGGAGGGGGGGTGTCATGAAATTGTAGATTTAATTTTTTCACTTATATGTTCATGTCAATGGAAATATATAGTTTTTTATTATGATTTATGGGCTTGTTCTATTTGTGAGTTTCTAGAAGACCATTTCTTTAACATACGCGCCACTAGCCTCTTTGGAATTTTATTCCCTTGGTTAATGGAAATATATAGTTTTTTATTATGATTTATGGGCTTGTTCTATTTGTGAGTTTCTAGAAGACCATTTCTTTAACATACGCGCCACTAGCCTCTTTGGAATTTTATTCCCTTGGTTATGGTTCTTGGAACAATTATCAAAGGCACATTGGTTTGATACGACCATTTTCGTTTGGCGATGTGAGGAACTGATGATGGTTAATAGAAGTTGTACTTTATTTGCCAATTGGATACCAATTTTCGATCATTTAAATGAAATAAGGAAACGAGGTCTGAATTTGATATTGTTAAGAACATATTTTCAGTTTAGTTCTTTTGTTTATGTGCCATACGGCAGTCTTGTCCTTTTCCTATAGTTAAGGATATTTTTATATTTTTCAGCATTAAGCATTATAATTAGAATGAGAGGGGCAAGTGTGTGGCTGATATGATCGGAAGCCTGTTGAAGTCCGTGGAATGATTCAAGTGTAGAGATCTACATTCATATACATCTAAGTGATAGGTGGTTCTTCTTCTACTCTGTGTGTTTGCTTATCTTTGGTGAGTTATAAGGCTTTTTTATGTCATTTGGTGCTTCCAAAACTGCTTAGCTTTCTGTAGTATCATATATTTCACTTTCCTCTTCTTTTTTGTGTGTGCACGTGCGCGTGCATCTCGCGGCCAGTGACAGGAAGCCCAAAATTTCCAGCATTAGTGACATTAATGGAATGCCAATCGCTTATGTGAAGTTAAATGGGTCTGATTGTCTCCTATAGGCTGTTTGTGAAGGTGTTTATTGGTGCTAAGATTTAGATTGAGATCTTGACTAGAGATAGGAGAAATGAATAAGATAATAGGTAAGAAAAATGGCTTGAGGAGAACTACCAAATCATGACTTGGGTATGGAAACCCCAAGTGAGTGCTATCCTGATGTTTCTTGCGTTGCATTCTTTTGATAAAAATAACTGCCAAGCTTATCAACTTTATAAGAATATTTTCCGTTATGGCAGGTAACAAAAATCTTAATGAGTATTACAACAATCTCCAGGGTATTGTAGGAAGAGTTGAATGTCTATTAGGCTTTGTCAAATGATGCGGATTTACCGAAGAAACAAGAAGACTTTTGGGGCATAATTTTTTCTGGCCTCAGTCTGAATGTCTGTCTGTCTAGTCGTGGAGAGTTCTTAGCCAATAATAAACTTCCATCTCTTAATAATGTGTACTCCTTCCTGTCCTCAAAGTGTTACTATGTCCACACCTTCATCTACGTCTACTGTTGATGATGGTTGTACCTTAACTACATTTGTGGGTGGGTGGAGGTGACGGACGCAGAGGTCGTGGTAGCAGCAGTACAGAATGTGGTCGTGGTAACAAAAAACGTACTCATTGCAAACATCCAATCACAGGTTATTTGTAAAGCACTCTTGTACTCAACATTCAAATAGCTCATTTTGTTACATCTCTTTCCTTATCATCATAATTTTTCTTCTTCACTTTCCTACATTTCTATACTTTAAATCCTGAAAACTCAGCACTAACCTACCCCACCTACCCCTTTTCCCTTTGTCAAAAATCGGAAGCCATCGAAAGTGGAAAAATGAAGGAGAGAGAGAGTTGAAAATAGGGGTGCACTTGTGAGATGAGATGAGAGTGTGTGGGTGAAGGGGGAGAAAAGATGTATGACGAGAGTGGAGAAAGAGGAAGTGCGTGTGTGTGTGTGGGAGTGAGTAGAGAAATAGTGAGTAGGTGTGGTGTGGAAGAGGGAGTGACGAGTAGAGAGAGAGAGTGAGTTAATTGTGTGTGTAGGGCTTGGTGTGAAGCCCTCCACACACTGAGGGGAGAAGCGCGAGAGGGCCTGAAGCGTGGTGAGATGTAGTGACATCTCGCCTTGGCACCAGGCCTTGTTGCGAGGTACCTCTAGAGAGAGAAAATGAGCCTGTGAGAGAAAGAAAGGCCGATAGAGGTCATGAGAGGGAAAGAGAGTCCCAAGAAGTACATCCCAGAGGGAGAAGGATGTCGTGTAGTCTTGCGTGTCCAAATATGGCGAGAGTATGGTGAGTGGTGTGTGGCATGTACGTGAGTTGTGCAGAGGAAAAGAGAGAAATTGTAAAGAGAAGTGTTTATGTATACGAGTGATCATGTATTTTGTATTTACAGAATCCAAAGTAATGAAAGAGTTTATCTCTCTACGCCAATTTGTTGTGCCCAGAAAAACCCTACAAGTGGTCTTTGAAAATCTTTACAAGTGGCATCTGAGCTTTTGAAAATTCTAACAAATCCTACTAGGAAGCTCTTTTTCATATTAGGTGAAAGATAGCAATGGATGAAAAAATGGTAGCTCTTCAATCTAATGGCACATTGGTTCTCCTTGATTGCCATTAAGAAAGCGGATTGATTGTTGGATGCCGTTTGGGTTTACGCAGTCAAATATAAGTTAGATGAACCTTGTTGAGATGTTAAAGGCATGGTTGCTAGCAAAAAGGTATAAATAAATTTTGGTATTGGTTATTCTGGGTCTCTTGTCCCTAATGTTCAACTTAATTATATTTGAATGCTTATATCTATAGCAAGAAGCAAAATTGTAGGCAGGCATTGTGGCAGCTAGATGTTAAAAATGCTTATTTTTGCGGTGATTTAAGAAGAGGTGTACATGGAGTAACCATCAGGTTTGTTCCTTAGAAGTCTAGTAAGGTATGTAGGTTGAAGGAAGCCCTTTATGCGTAGAAACAATCCCTATGTGAAGAAATGTGGATTATTCTCCATTTATTTGGAGATGATCCTCAGATAAAATTGTGTTGGCAGTTTGAGGTATTTCTATTACGGGTGGTGATCAAGAAGGAATTATCAACTTAAAGAGGTATTTACAACAATATTTGCAAACAAAGGAATTTGACTAGCTAAGGTTTCCTTGGAATCATAGCTTGGTCTAAGTATGGTATTAGTTTCTCTCAAAACTATAACAAATTTGTTGTTAAAAATAGGGACATTAGGTGCTTAACTAATTGACACACCAATGAATCCAAGTACTAAATTATTGAGGGATTTGGGAGAGTTGTTTGAAGATGCAGGAAGGTAGAAAGGACTTGTAGGCAAGCTTATCTACCTAAAAATAATTGGCTAGATATAGCCTTTGTATTGAGAGTAATGAGTCAATTCATGCATTTTCCTAGGACACCACACTGAGAGGTTGTGCGTCAAGGTATGGAATATCTTAATGGGCCTTTAGTTCAATGGCTCACCTATAGGGAAAATGTCTATTTCAGCATTGAGAGTAATTTTGATGCTTATTCAACAAGATCTCCATTAGGCAAATCTAATATAGGTAAGGCTAGCAATGGGCCACGCGGCTTGGCCCGACCCCAAAACAGTAGGGCATGTGCCATAAAATGTGGCCCGGGGTGCGGGCTAGGGCCAAGGATGGCCCGGTTCGGCCCAGCCCACTAAGTGTGAGTTAATACAGCTAGAGACCTATAATCAAGCTGCCACCTATATAGCCAACAAACCAGTGTTCCACGAGAGAACGAAGCATATTGAAGTGGACTGTCATTTTATTTTAGCAGATATCTACTCCATGTGTAAAGTCATAAGATCAATTGGCACATGTACTCACCAAAGTTCTTGGTCACAATTAAATTAAGATGATTTGTTCCAAACTAGACATGAGTAAAATTTATGCGCCTATACAGTATGCATGTAGTGTAGTTCATTTGTTTATTTTCCTATAGGGAATTATTATCCTTTCCCCATATTTAGTGACATTTTTGTACTTTTCTATGTCTATCTCTAGATTGATTCTCTCCTCTTCCTATCTTCTTTTTCTTTCATTCGGCACTCTTAACAAATGCTATAATGCTGATGCGTTACAATTGGTTTTGGACATGAGGGGCAATTCCAAAAAAATCTGATGCGTATTAAAGAAGAGCACATGGGTATTACGCATCCATCATGCCGGTGGATATTGTGGAAACCCCATGCACATTATTTAACTTATCTCTTGCTAAATGCCACACGTCACTAGATCTTCCAAAAGAACTCTCTTTTGCCTTTGAAATTGAACTCGAATCAGTCGGACTCATCGTCGTCATCATCCTCCGATCCTTATCCTAATTTATTTTCAAAAAGATTCTTGCCCTAATTTATCTATTAAAAAAGTGAGGAGTCGATGGCACGATAAACGATTAAGAAAAGTATACATTGAGACTATTATCTTTGGTGTAAGATGACAACAAGTATGCAGACCATTGGTTATGAAATTGGGTGGTTATATTTAAAAGAGATTTTTTCGAACTTGGTGACATCCAAGCTATTAAATTTCACATCGAATACTTGTAAATATCTGTGATCTCTTTATATTAAAGATAAATGAAAAGGTTTGTATAGAGTTGAGGCTCTAAATAGTCAAATTAGAAGGCAACTCAAAAAAATTTCATTAGAAGAGGTTGTTTTGATACTCAAATATCTTCAAATTGATCATCTCAACATCAAAATGCATGGAAATGAGAAAAAAATGGAGTTCAAGTTTTGGAAATAGTGCATCTTGTAATGCATTTTTGGACTGTCAATTTTGAAGTTTTTCAAGTTTTCATAGATCTGCTCGATCTACACTGTTTTTGAAGCTTTACATTTTATAATTAGAGATGAAACTATATTTTAAAGCTATCACAAAGATTTTCAGTTTGGAAACCACATTTCTTGATACTATTTGAAGGTACGCTCTACTTTGATTGTTTAGAGCCTCAACTCTATACAAACCGCAACCAAAGATATATGGTCTCATTGTATGCAATCCCTAAACAAGGCAAACTTTTTCAATATGGGGTGGGATTTGGGGCACATGTTAGGAAAATGTAATTTTGTCAATATTTATATGCTATACACTATATAATGATTGAATCGTCAATTATGATTCGGAATCAGCAGAAACCTGAGCGAATTCCGATCTTAATCGATGATTGTCAATCTAGATCTGCAATTTTTTAATCACATTGTCTGAGATGTTAGTATTTACAAATACCAATATCTATAAAAAATGCTTAAAATGAGATATTGACTCCCAATCACCGATTCATCCCATGTATAATTTAAGCACTAAACCCATTGGTGACAAATTCCTTGGTTATTTTCCAAGGAAAGGACTAAAAGAGAATATTCTGCAGCACATGATCGTTTCTCCATGATAAAAGGACAGAGAAACTCATGCATGGACCCATAAAACTTACGGAATTAAAAGAGTCCACAAAATTGGAGGATACGGAATAAAAAATGTCCACAAATTTGGGATGGTTAGGAATTTTTTGGGGTTGGTAAGGAATTGATTCAAATTGAAATTATTGTTTTTGACTTCTAATCTAATTATTGACCCAATAATTTTTAATAATTCTTAATAAGGATAGCTTAAAATTTTTTACTATTTTTCATTGTAATTTTACCTGTAGTTTGTAGGTCTATGCTTTGAAGTGTTGTGACCCATTCAAAAAAAAAAACTATCAGGTTGGCATGAGTGATACGATGATTCCATAATATTGGCGACCCATGCACAATAAAATTTTCCATAATATTGGCGTAGAGTTTAGGTGCATGAGTGATACGATTCTTACATTGTGCCTACCTTCTAAAATCTATTTTCGAATATGGATTTTGAACCCAAAACTATGTAGATCTGGCATATCTACCACCATGAAAAGCAAAACAAGAAAAAGAAAGAAGAAGATAGCGTTAGCCATTGAAAATGACCTATATTTTACTTTTTCTTGTATGTGCATTTCAATCCTTTCAAGATCATTTAGGGAGTGGGGTTGGGGTATCGGTAGTTAGGGGGCAGATGCCTCAATGTAACATCTAGGCACAGTTACAATTTTACTGGCAACCAATACCAAGCAAATATAGCTGCGTTTTAGAGAGAGAAAAATAAAAATTTGAGAAAAAATCAACAATAAGAAGTTACAAACGTGGGGATTTGAGATCTTCGCCACACCCCACAAGAGTTAAAAGAAGAAGAGAAAACACCCAAAGGCTCTTTTTCTCTCTTAACACATTAACTGTATATTTTCATTCAACAAAAGACATCCTCTAATACATTGTACTAGCATCTATTTTTATACACTAAATAAAAACCAACTTCATTAATCAATTTTTCTTTCAGTCCTTCATTTTTTTTTTCGTCAAATATCTTCATAGGCTCGAACTCTGGGTTCAAGTTAATATCTTGCTTTTCCATGCTTGAAGGTCAACTTCTTTCTCCACCGCGCCCCACAAGAGTTAAGAGAAGAAAAAAGAAAAAAAATACCCAACGGTTTTTTCTCTCTCTAACATGTTAATCATTGAAACCTATCCCTTAATACATTGTATGTGTTTCCTGTTTTATATATATACCAAACATCTTGCTTTATAAAACTCCTACCAAAAAAACTGTCCACTAGAACATTATTGCTAATAGGTGATTTATATATCAGGTAAATCATGTCATTTTCTAAAAGATAAGTAAATGACTTATTCAAATAAAGTAAGTACCAACTCAACTAACACTTATTAAAAGGAAACATACTTGCTTCATATTCCTAAAACAACTCAACAGAAACGGACTATAACCTTAAAATGTAGAATTAGAGATGCACATAAAAAATCTATTGAAAAATATTGTTTTAATGTTGAAAAACTTTTTTAATTGATGATTTGGACATCGAGATGTAGGAATATAAGAAAAAAAAAAGAAAAAGATTTTGAGTCCCAAAAATAGTGCATCTCACCGTTTATTTTCAAGATTTTCATATGCTTATAGATCTACTTGATTTTAACCGTTTTTAGAGTTTAAAATTTTATAAATAGATAAAAAAATAGATTTTCAGATAATCCTAAGAATTTTTTACATCAAAATTATATGTTATGATAAAATTTGGAGGTGTACCATATTTTGGATTGTTTAAAGTTGCAACCTTATAGAAACCACACCCTAAAAAGAAATAGACTTATCAAACTAACCCAAAGAATTTTGGACTAATAATATTTTTAACAATTAATCCTAATAAAAATAAAGATAAAAACCTATATCCATAATAAATAAATAACTAAGTCCCCTAAAAATTAAGAAAAATAAAAATATGAAATCCATCCATCACTCGTTCTACATCACGTTCCACCCTCCATTTCTATTATTAAGATATTAAAAATAAGGTGCGGTTTGTATAGAGCCTAGGCTCTAAAGATTTAAATTAGGGCCTACCTTCAAATAGGGTCGAGAAATGTGGTTTCAATTCTAGAAGTCTTGTGATAGCCTTAAAATATATTTTTATCTTTATTTATAAAGTTTAAAGCTTCAAAAATAGTGTAAATTGACAGATCTATGAAAACTTGACTAGCTTGAAAATTGAAGGCCCAAAAAAGCATTACAAAATATATTATTTCCAAACCTTGAAATCCATTTTTTCCTTAAGTCAATGCATCTTGATGTTCAGCTGATCAATTTGAGGATACTTGGGCATTAAAACAACCCCTTCTAGTGAAATTTTTGAGGTAGGCTCTTATTTGATTGTTTAGAGCCTCGGCTCTATATACACTTTTCCCTTAAAAAAATATATATAAAAATATATATTCCAAGTTTATCAAGTTGGCACCATTTTATTAGAAGGTGTTATTTTGATGCCCAAATATCCTCAAGTTGATCATCTCGACATCAAGATGCACGGACATAAAAAAAAATGGATTTTTGGAAATAGTGCATCTTGTAACACATTTTTAGACAGTCAATTTTCAAGATTTTCAAGTTTTCATAGATCTGCTCAATCTACACTATTTTTGAAGCTCTAAATTTTATAATTAGAGATGAAAATATATTTGAAAGCTACCATAAAGATTTGTAGTATTAAAATCCCATTTTTCGATACTATTTGAAGGTGGGCTCTACTTTGATTGTTTAGAGTCTCGGTTCTATACAAACGACACACCCTTTTTTTACATTCAAATTCATGGATATGAGGCAAAAATTAAATTGCAATAATCTAAGATGTGTTTTGATCTGAAAACCCAAGATCCAAATTCATGGATCTAAAGCAAAAATGAAATTGCAATAATCTAGGATTTGTTTTGAGTAACCTCAAACCATTGAAAATCAGGGGCTGACACATGCAACTCACTACAAACTTTTCAGATTATTGGGGAAGTATGGTACATGAGCATGTGAAATCTATGGTCATACGAGTCATCACCATCCGATTAATGGTTGGACACTCAAATACGGAGACGAAAACACTGGAATTCCAGTCGCGCTGTAATATCCATTTATTACCGTCAACATTTTGATTGGGCAGTGATACCCACATATTTCACTTACATGCTCATGTGAATCCTTTTGTTGCTTTCATAACAGCTCAACGGTCCATTTAGAGTGTGAGAGAGAGAGAGAGAAAGAGGGGGAAAGCGAGCTTGTTTTTAGTGAGAGAGAGAGAGAGTCAGGGGGCTTGTTTGTAGAGAGGGAGAGAGCCCCCTTTATCAGAGAGAGAACTTTGTCGTTCATGAAAGAAGCGTGCAGCCGTATAACTTCTCTGTGTACAGTGATTTCAATGGGTATTCTCTGATTTCATGACAATAAATGGTGTGATTTCTTCTATGTAGTGAAATTCTGACATGTGTTCGTCTGTTTCTCTCTCTAGTTAGTTCATGGCTATGAATTCTTTCTTTCCAATGCCCATTAATGCAATGGGAACTGCGGTGTTTCAGAAACCCATTTCTGCTTCTCCATATTCGGCCACAGTTTCAAGAGGTGTGTTATTTTTTAGTCCGTGCTTACCCATTTCTCTAGCTCTTTCCACCTTTCTCTCTATATCTATCTATATATCTTGGGTTAATTTTTGTGGTATTTTTTAGTGAGGTTTTTGAATTTCATTTGGATTTTTTTTCTATATGATTTTAGCTTCACATGGGGAAGAAGTGGACTTCAATACATTGATATAAATGGTTTTTTTTGCCAACTAAGATTCTGATGTTTCCCTGGTTTACGAAATATTATGTGCCTGATTTTTTTTTTATGATATTTACCTGATAGTGATATTTTTTCAAGAACTTGTTATATTTCTTTCTTCAGCTTTAACCTGTTTTAATTTTAAATAATGACACATGGGTAATCATCCGGAATTTTATATAGTGATTTTACTTCCTCTTAAATTCGAATTATAGTATTCATCCCTTGCCTAGGTAAAGGGGCATGATGGTGGTTGTGTTAGGTAGGCAACCAACCTAAAATTTTGTCAAAACTCATCATGAATCCGGATAAATATAGAATACTATAATTGGCCTTCAGGAGAGCATCACGGACAACCACGATTCATGTAGCCGACCCCAATTGATTGGGAAAAGAAATGATGATGTTTGATTATTATTATTTTTTAGTTTCCAAAGAATTTTAATTATTGGAGTTCCTTCAATTATTGATTTCTTCGGCTTTGTAGGTCATATGCTTATTTTATTGGAAAATTATGCCCCTAAGTAATTCATTTATACACCTATCAGCTTCGTTACATG